CTGTGCAGAGAGCTGAGAGTCAGAGCCGCAAGTGAAGAGGGACTCTTTAAGTTATCAGCTTCGGAGTATAGCTCGCGGAGGGGGCGGTGGAGAGAGAGAGAGAGAGCGCGAGGATGCTGAGCCGGAAGCCGCAGCCCTCACCTCGTCAGCGCCAACGCGGGATGCTCCAGTAACTTTTGAGCGCGTTGAAGTTTAATCTCTACGCCGTTAGTCGCTCCGTTTCGCCCGGTTTCCCCGTGAAGCGCCGCTCATCCTGCACCATGCTCGGTCCGTCGGTCCGCGGCGCGCTCTTCCTGTGCGCATTCCTCCAGCTCTTCCCCCTGCCCGGCGGACAGGTGCCGACCTGCCAGGAGGTGCGCACGGTGTTCCAGTCCCTGCATCCGGGCTCCAAGTGGGTCCCCGAAACCCCGGTGTCAGGTAACTGTCATCAACTTCAAGCTTGGGCATGTTGCGGCTCCGTGGGTGTTTTTACGCACTTGGCGGCGCGCATGTGTGGTGACTGCATCCTTAGATTGCTTGCACTTCTGTAGGTTAAAAATACATGTTAACTCAAATTCAATTCCACTGTTGAGTTTCGGAGGACTACACCGTTACCACGGTCCTGTAGACTGCTGACTTCAGTGAGAGAAAACCCACACACACTCTCTCCATCCCCCCGGCTGAACGTTCACCGACCTGCCGCAAAAGAGAGAAAGAAAGAAAATCTATTGGCCAGTAAAGCATCTTGTTAAAAGTGCAGGTTGAATTATATAAGCCACAGTTAACTGTTAAATAACAAGCTTACAGAATCGATTGGCTCCAGTATCGATCCAAACGTGGAGCCAAGTAACCCAACTTTGATTTGGTGCTGTATAAATTGGAAGCAGATGTTGGCAGCATTTGTTTGTTATGAATCTTCTGCTAAATTTGAGGGTTTCTGTTCTTTATATGATGATGATGAGGGTGGACTGTATGCACCTATTAAAAAAATAGATCAGCACTCTTCCCTTTATGAGTTAATAAATAATCCGTGCTCCAGCGGGTCCTTATTCCATATTGTCACAGGATTTATAGATTAGTGGTGTGATGGGAATTGTGACCGCCCTGCAAACACATCTGTAATAGAAGCGGTTATCCAAAGAGGTAATTACTGTTCCCTGGAGCTCAAATGTCAGCGAGTCTGCCTCGGAGGAGGGAAGGAAGTGTCTTGACTTTTAAGACGTGAGGAAAAACACATTGAGCTGATGGGGCGGGGGAAGGGAAATAATTCTGGTGTTTTTCTCGATGAAGGTTAACAGCTATAGAACCCCATTTATTTTGCAGAACACAGCACGTCCGCGCAACACCGGAGAGCCTGTTGCACGCATTCCGATCCAGAGAGCCCTCTCATGCGGCTGAATCATCAGCCAGCTGCAAATGTTAATTAGGTTTTGTAGTGTCATGTCAGCGCGCGCGGGGTGCAAGGGCTCCAGGTTAACAGCTTTTCCTTTTTCTCAGCATGCAATTCTCGCTCACCTGATTTTCAAAGAGGTTTGCCAAAATAACGCAATAAGTGCGCCGCGAACCCTGCGAGGAGTGTGATGAATCGCAAAAATGATTCAAATCGAACAGAAAAGGAAAGACGGTGCGACGCACTTTGCAGCGCGCTTTGTCACACTCAATCCATCCCGTGTTATCTGCGGGTGCACGTGGCTCCAACCACTACGCCCTACATCTTTCCGTGCATGAATCTTTAATCCCACACCTTCCACCGAGGCCATCGTGCGTTTTAAGAGAAATATTTAACCCCCCTCTCCCCTCCACACACACATCTCAAATGTGAGGCACAGCAGCGGCTGTGCACCTTAACTGGGGGTTCAGTCTGAGCTGGACGGCCTGAAGCTCCAAACCATTACTCACACTGGAAATCAATCCACCAGTCAGCTGAGGGACAATTCATCCTCGCCGGTTACACGTTCCCAAGATGCCTGCGGCTCCTCTGCTGCTGCGTGATTGCTGGTTTTATGAAGTGAGCTGGTTGCTACAGTGTTTTATCAAGTGTCCGATGGTAACGCAACAAATCACAGAGCCAGCTTTTTAGATTGACGTAGAACACTGATTCGAAAACCCGTTGGTTTCAGATCCTGAGGCAGCTCCACAAACATGCGTACATCTTTATTGTACTGTCCGATTGTTCCCAATTTGGCTTACAAACGTGATTTTGAAAGGATGACGTGTTAAATCCGCGAAATAAAAACGATGCATTACTTCTGATTTGGGTCTCAAAGCTTTCCAGATAAGTCAATTTTTAATTCTGCTTAGGAGTTTTTTAACAGTTTGTTCCAAAATGGAGTTGCACCCACTGATTGGTTCTGATTGACCCTTGGGTCTGTCTATATACATAACAAAGATGAATATATATTTGTTCTACATATCAACATATAAAACATGTAACATTTCCTTATTTGTTATGATACAAATGTATGATCTTTTTCTGCATTTTGCCTTCTTCGTCAAAGGAGTTTGCGATGAAGAAGAGGGGTTCACCACTTCCAACACTATTTAGAAGAAAAGGACAACATATTTTAGGCGAAAAAAATGGCTGATTTTGCAACTATTGTTATTGTTAGTACACAAACAGCAGTGTCGACAAAACACATGGGTTATTATAAGACGCCCAATTAGACTATCTTTGTGTAAAATAAAAATAACGTATATGATGTTTTAACATTTATCCTATTGAGCCACAAAGTTCTACATGATTGATGTTGACTTACTGCACCAGTGCAGGAACAGGGAGATTTAAACATATAGGAAGATAAAATGCCTCTCCCTTTCATTCCCAATGTGCTGACACAGAGCAGATATACAACAATTCCTTATATTATGCAGACCTCCTAAAACCTTCACAGGACCCCTTTTATAGGAGCTGGTGTAGTAAAATGTAATGGGATGTGAGTTCAGGACTTAATGCTAAAACAAAGTGCTGCCAGTGAGGGAGAAATAGGTTGCACATTAAAATGTAAATCAAATGGATAGTGTTTAGGCTTTTAAAAAATACATATCCCCACATCGCACATTAAGCGAGGCCCGGGAGAGGACGTAGTGTGGCCTTGAATGCCACAGGAAGTTTTTCGTCTCACTATAAAGCCATCTATCTGTGTGTAGGCTCGTGTGGGTGTGTCCTTTCGCATATCTCCGCACGCGACACGTTCGGTATTAGTAAACATTGAATAAACAAGTGACCGCCTCTCCGTTTAACAGCGGGGGGCGGAGCCTCAGCGCTCTGCAGACTGATGCCTTTGTGCGTACTCGTAGCTCGCGCGCCACCTGCGGAGGCTCGAGCTACTACGGTGTCACGCATGTCGACTGCAGCAGCCGTGACCTACATTTACAGCGCTTCCTTTTGCTGCTGGGTGCTGGAGGTACAGTCTGATAACGTGACCGAACTCTTCTTCACTTCCCCTGGAGTCAACAGCAGCGGTTAGCTAACAGGAAGCAGAATGGAAGCCGCGACTTGTTCACGTGTTGTTCCCCCGTGAGTAACGTTGCATGACTTGATGCTAACTTGAACTTGTATGCTAACACTAATAAGGTTACCGCCAGTACAATACCTCTGCTAAATGAAGCCTACGCTCTACTTTATATGCAGGTGTTTATGTCAAAATATTGTTATATTTTGTTATATTTTGTTATATTTTCTTGGTCAAATCTGAATCGGCAACATTTCTCTCTCGGGTAAATGTACTATGTTTACTCTGAACTAAGTACACAGTAAGTAGGAAGTGTACAGTTGAGTTACATATTTTTGGGGGCCTTTTGTAAGATATTTTGACGTACAGTGAGGTAGAATAGTAACACAATTCAATATATTTGATATCTATACATCGTAATGAATCTGTATCTGTTTGGGGCCCATTGGTTGGGGGCCACAGGCCCAGGTTGTCTCCGTTGCTGAACTGTCAAGTCTGCCTCTGGTGTTTTCTGATGGAATAATGTGGAACAACAACGGTTTAACCTTTGTGGCCTGGTTTTCAGTGCTCGCATGTCTCTACCGGTCGTGACCTGTTCAGCCAAAGAGTTCATTTTAGTATTTCGTATCATTTTCAGGGTAAAGTTATCCAGTAATTTGCAAGAAAATGAGCAAAGATTAGGTGGTCTGTCCGAATAGTTTGGTAAACCACTGGGATAACGTAGTATTGATGTATTGTTTGTCAGTGGGCATGCAGAAATAGTTGCGTTACGAAACATTAAATCATCAGCGATGATCACATTCACTTGCTCATAACTCATTCTTGCACACGTTAATGTGTTCAGTTTGTTTGTGGAGGATTTCTGTGTGCAAATCCACGTAGCAAGTAGCAAAATGTTTCTCAATTCTCTAAAAACGTGTTAAGTCACATTATATTCCTGAGTAAATTAGTAGTTTTTTCACTAGAAAAATATGTGTCACATACTAAACTCTCCAGGCATGTTTCCAGTATTTTACGCCATCCTTTATATCCAGCGATGACATTGAACCCGTCCTTCATCGTTCTCGACAATATTTAAGCGATGCATGAAAAGTTAAAACCTAGAATGAGACAGAGTTATGGCGCCAGGCTTGTACGTTGCATTTTCATAAATCCCAGCTCTTCCACTTTTGCCCTAATGAGCTTTTTGTTTTACATTTTTTCACAAAAGCATGAAATATGCAGCCACTTGTCACATACTTGGTGCAATTTTTGGTCCCCCTTTTTGTCGGTCATCCATAATGCATCCTTGTCATTAATGGATACAGAATAACTTGAAGGGTTTTCAGTCACATCTGCTGAACTTTGTGCCCGAGAAAAAGATTTGGCGAGCAAATGCGAAACACAAGTTCTTCGTCGAGGCCTTCAGCTAATGGAAGATTGATGAACGTCAATGTTGAGGATGGCTTGCTGGAATTGCGCTGGTGGAAGTATCACCTTCTATCTGTGTGTGTGTGTGTGTGTGTGTGTGTGTGTGTGTGTGTGTGTGTGTATGATGATGATGATGATGATGGGGAGCCGTGCAGCAGCCTGTACTGGTGGTGTGTGTGGTATGGAGGTGGCTGATTCAGAGAGAAGTCCGCAGGAAGGTAGAGCAGAATTCTAATAACGCTGCATGTGGTGCCAGGGGGCCAAAACACCAAAACACTAAAGTTTCTTTTCTTTCCGCCAACATGATTCAAAAAGAAGCGAGAGCAGGAAAAAAAAAAAACACAGCACAACAACAACATTATACGGTGGAGATGTTCAAAGCAAAATAGTGCTGCAGGAGTATCACTCATGTCTTTGTTGCTGTGGGTGGTTGGAGTGTCGGCAGGTGGAATGGAGGCTGGTGTAGTCGTGTATGAGCGAGAGGCGCTCGAGCGCCGACCCCGGGACCTGAGTGTGTGAGAGCGGCTCTGTCAGAGGACGTGGAGGGTCTCTGATGGCAGCAGCTGACCTGGAGGCTCAGTAGATGGGAGAGTAGTACAAGGCGGAGCTGACAGCTGCCACTTATTTGTACATTTATTTTAGATTTTGTTTTTGGAGGGGAGGGTTCATCATTGTAGAGGTAGAGATTGGAAATTGGGGAAAGAGAGGAGTACGACGTAACAAAGGGCTCCAAGGGTTTGTACTGGTATCACGGTATACTGCGGGATCATACCGTGTACATTTGCTTCTGTGCAGTATTTAAAAAAAAAAAAAAAAGAAAGTACAGTAAGTGAGTGTGCGGGAGAGTTAAAGGTGCAGGCAGGAGCAGTGTGGCTGCACCTACAAATATGTTAATTTATTAATCATGGGACACGATTAAAAAGACAATGTTCATGTTTCATTTAGTTGTTAATTTAAAGTATTGCTATAATTCTTACTTTACTATATTATAATAATATTTTAATTATGATACTGATATCATTCCTTTAAGGGTCATTCTAAATGTAAAATAAAATAATAATATTAATAATGTAAAGGGCCGTCCAGAGGTAGAAATAAAATATATCCGCATATTAATAACATAAGGTTATAAATAAGAAAACAGTTGAAAAGTAGCTGCTGCTGTGCATCTTTCAGCACCACAGAGTTGAGAAGAAAGAGAACGATGTACCTATAGTTATCGTTTAGTGTGTGGACGGCCATAACACCGTGAAACCGTGATAGTTTCTGGGGTCAATCCGTGAAAACCTCAGACCCGTACAACCCTACAAGGCTGGAATCAAACCCGGGACCTCCAGCTGTCACTTATTCTAACACAACATCCTGAACAGTTTCCCCCTTTTCTTCCTCCTCTGAGCTGAAACAACTCGACTGTCATGTCGTTTGATGTTGCTGAGCAGGATGCCAACAACGGGTCCAGGACTTCTCGGTAATTAGCTACGGGGGTCAGGTCACCTGTTGTTTGTTTGTTTGTTACGGGAAAAAAGTGAACAACAAAAGAACAAACGCTCCTGCTGTTGAAACGACACTAATAAGGTGGATCAGTGTGACCTGACGCGAGAGGTCTTTGTGTCTAATCAAGCAGCGATTGGTGCTTTGTTTATTCCCATCTCCTCTCTGGAAACAGCCCTCTTTATAATGAAGGACACTTGTGTTTTGTGTACACTCCAGACAACAGAGACCGGGGCTCGTTCACATACACGCTCTCGGCTTTCAAATGATTGCTTCATCAAAACGCCTTTACAAGTAGAGCAGTCAGCAAAGCGCTGAAAAACGCTTAAAACAGTCGTAATCCCTGGTAGCTAATGACATGACCCATAGTAAGTCTTCATTTCATTTATTGTCTCTACAAAGTGACACCGGAGAGGAAGCCAAGGAGTCCCACGTGCTCCCACTCGACACTGGTAGCTGATGTATAATTTATGCCCCGTAATGAACGGCTTTTAACATATTCTATATTTTAATACAACTTGTTTTTCCCCCATGGTCTCGGCTATTAAACTTGCATAGTGATAGCTTTCTAATTGGTGCCGGGAAGCCAAAGAGACACAGTGTATTTGTGGCTGCCCCCC